GCAAGTATCTTGGGTTTTCAGGCATATATGATATAATTCAAATTGCTCACTGCTGCCTTTTTTAATTTCATCTATACTATAGTCGTAGACGTCCAGCTAGAGGGAGTCCCGAACGTCATTAAACAAACTGATGTTTGGATTATAACACAGCACAAGACTCTGTTTCCATCTTCTGTTCTAGATTCCCACTGAAGTTGGTCCAGTAATTTAGTTACACATCCTGGAGATTTTTTCTGATAGAAGCTATAGACAAAGCGAGCTGTTCGTCTCTGTACTTGCTCGATATCTGGTGTGATGGTGATTTGGTGCGGGTCCGATACTGGAGAAGCATATTCTAGGATAGGTCTTAAAGTATGGAGTATATTGGTCTTCTTGTTAGTTGTTATCTTAGCTTTGAATCAATCTGATGAGTCAACCCAACCCCTTTTCAACTGGTTTTTACTATTATTTCTTACATAATAGAAAAGAACGGATATGGGGTATCCATCCAGGACACAAAATCAGTACATGCACAGCAAGAACACAAAAAGCAAAGGAACAGCACTTTTATTGATATATGTTGCGGTTTACCACCACTGTCCTAGGTTAGTGATGGGTTAGGCATCCGCAAACATGGTTACCCCCCCCCCCCCCCCCCCCCCTCAAGGTCGCTGTGTGCCTGTACCAAAATCATGAGACTGAATTTCAATGGTTGTCGTTTGTTGCCGGGAATTACACCTGCTTTTCGTTGATAATTGGTTTGTACATAAATAATGACATACCGTTGGTTATGTCGTTTGACCGTTTTTACATTTGTCATGTCGGATTCTTTTGTAGCTTGTAATGCAGTATGGGTATTTCTCATTGTTAAATGCTGTAGTGACGTATGAATGCTAACATCTATGTCATTTTGTTTCTGGTGGATAGTTACCTCATAAGTAATCATACCATATATTCTTATTTTTATGTTATGAATATCTGACTGGTTAATTTTCTGGACCGTTGAAAAAATATTTACTAAAGCTGTGGTTTTGAACATTTGCCAGCACTATTCACATGCATCGATCAAAGTTCAACTATATACCATTTGTTGTCAGAACATTATACTACAAACATGTACATGAAGCTGTGATTATTGTTTTCTCAGTTGTTAGTAAACGGAGTTCGTTCCCTGTTCATTGCATTAAGGTCATCTTAATTTGTGAATTTAATTTTGCTATTTAAGGGACTTTGTGTTGATTGCATATATACAGTCCGCCAAAAGTTAAGCACCACCTAAATATATCTGTCAATATTTTTTTAACTATTGCGAAAAAAACATTTATGTTTGGTTTTATGAATTGCCTATCGCATACACTAGGAAAATTCATTACGACCAAAAAAATTAAACTCCGATATACCCGCCAAGCAACCTTTTATTAATTGTCATCTGCACTTTTACAAATACACTTTTTCGATGCCTTTAAATCATCTTCCTACTGTCCCGCGTACAGGTGAAATTTGACCTTCACCAAGTCACTGTGAAATATGGCAAGCGGTAAATTATCTGTGACTGAACGTTGACAAGCAATTGACATGTCAAATGCCGGTAGGAGCACTAGGAGCATTGGTAACCATTTCAATGTTAATCGCACCGTCATTGTCAGATTTTTACAACGTCATATTGACACAGGAACTGTAAATGATAGACTAAGGCCAGGAAGACCCCGTTTAATTACCTATCGTGATGACAGACTACTTATTGGTCGTGCTAAAGCCAACCCATTTACTCCTGCCCCATAGCTTAGACACCACTGGCCTCCAGGTGGTCGTGTTAGTGTTCGAACATTGGTCCGTCGACTTCATAGAGGCTACCTAAGAGCACGTCGTGTTGTCAAAAGACGTGTCCTAACAGCCAGGCACCGTATAATCAGGTTTCAAAGGGCTAATGACCATCAACGATGGAACATGAGAACCTGGCAAAATATTCATTGGTCAGATGAGAGTTGGTTTCTGTTACGAGCAATAGACGGCAGAATACGAGTTTGGCGGGGAAATAAAACTGCCTATCACCAAAACAACAATTGCCCAACGACAGCAATCGTTGATGGTGGTGTTACAGTATGGGGTTTCTTCTCATACTGTTGTAAGCTAGATATGCATATTTAGCAGGGTAACATGAACAGACAGACATACAGGGATTTGGTGCTTAGAAACATTGTAGTCCCTCATTTTGAGAATCCCCAACTTGCGTCAAGACCCTCGTACATGGACGACAACGCTAGACCACACAGGGCAAGGATTGTAACCGATTACAAAGATCAAGAAGCCATTGACACTATCTTTTGGCCTTCCATGTCTCCAGACCTGAACACTATCGAACATGTCTGGGATGCCATTGGAAAAAATCTCAATCGCAGAGATCCACCTTTGCAAAATCTTGGCGATTTAAGAGGGGCAATTGTTGATGAATGGAATAAATTTGCTCAACTAAAGTTCAGAAGGCTTGTACAGAGTATGAGACGCCGTGTTGTGGAACTGTACCGGAAGAGAGGTGGTTACACATCCTATTGACTTAAATATTGACATTAAATTTGCCGAATATACCAAAGATTATTTGTAGAGACTTTTAATGATTTTGGTTGATTAATTGTTGTAAAAATATAAAATCAAAGTAAAACTTAAATTCCGTTTCTGATTTGTGTAATTTTCACTATTTCTATGAATGCAAAATTCAAATGCATAGAACCTGCATCAGTGACCAAACTTAAGTTTATGGTTTGTTTATGGCATATGCTAGCAAAATTGCTGCATGAATATTTTCTCTTTTTCGAGGATTAACTGTTTTTTTTAAATGAACAAAATTTCGATGCAACAAAGATAGGTGGTGCTTAACTTTTGGCGGACTGTATATTTGAAAGTCTTTGTCATTTAGAGCTTGAAGTAGTAGTAGAATAGGGATAAGAAAACAGTAGAGCAGGTAGAGCAGCTTATGTAAATATTGTGCTAGTGATGGTGGAATGTTTGTGTCCACGTGTGATACTTTTGACCAAGGTAGAGCAACATTGGTTGGTAACCAGGTTATGTTTGTCGTCCATTTTGTTTCCACGTTGCAAGGTAGAGCAACATTGGTCGGTAACCAGGGGTATGTTTGTCGTCCATTTTTGTTTCCACGTTGCTGACTTTTTCAAGGTAGAGCAACATTGGTTGGTAACCAGGGTACGTTTGTCGTCCATTTTTGTTTCCACGTTGTAGAATTTTGGGTTGCCTTGCTTGTCTAAATTGTTATTTAAGTGAGCGGCATCCATTTTTTTTTTACGTTACTATATTTATTTTTGACGATATATGTTGGTAATAATTTTAAAATGAAAATTCTGAGGTTACATTACCAGGTTTTGTTATCAACAAAAAAGGGGCAGATATATATCTTATTATTTAAGTATGGTTTGAGTAGATTCATAGAATTAAAGCAGCTTTATGACATTGTTGAATTAAAGGTTGAAGACTGGAAGTACGATTTAATTATACAAATTGTAGAGACTTCAGGTGGTGGTGGTATATAAGTAAATGTTAGTCTTTACTGATTAATCATGGATTTAGAAACAGACTCGGGATGTTACTTTTCAGACATCCTCCGTTTCAAACCAGCCCATCTGAATATGATGTATTTCACAAATAGAATGCAAACATATACAAATTGGCCGGAACAGATTAAACAAAAGCCAGAAGATCTAGCTCATAATGGTTTTTTTTACACCGATATAGGAGATAGAGTGACATGTTTTTATTGTGACATTACTCTAAAAAAGTGGACTAAAGAAGACGATATCGAAACAGAACATATAAAATGGGATCCAAATTGTTTGTTTGCAAAGATGGTATCTAGTAAAACCTTGTCCAACATACTTATGAAATAAGAATGTTACGTAATGACTGAGATACACTATAAGAAGATCCTCGAATTCCGTTCATTTACAGATTGATTGTTGTAGAGAGAAGACACTATGGATGCAACATTTGAAAAAGCCGAGAAACTTATGCATCACACACTTAAATATTTGTATGCTAGGATGGTCTTAGACTGTTTACCGGATATTGTGAAAGAACATTGTTATGGGTGTGAAGTAAACCACCCGAGTCAGATTCAACACACTTGTTTAATGTGGACAAAAATGGAACATTTAGAAACTTATTTCGATATTGCTTATAAACAGATAGCGGAGAAGGACATGGTTAGGAAGATGTTCAATCAAGTGAAGCTCATGGATGTACCAGATGACTATAAAAATGACGTTTTATCTACATTAAAGGATTGGTGCATTCTACATAAACCAAGTACCAAAAATGTGTCACACTGGTGCAAACGATTGGTGTTGTTGGAAGAAAGATTCACAAACGAATTAAATTAATTTAAAACACACCGATCATTAACATTGGTTATCATTTGATGTGAAACACTCATCATGAACAGACGTATTTTTGAAAACTCAACCTTCCTGAAAGAACTTTACTATGATAGACCCCGAAGAAGAAAAGAATTGATTGAGGAGAGTTCCGATGATCAAATTCGAACCATTTCACACATTGCATATAAAATTTATCATGCAACACTTATGATTAGTATAGTACATAGACGAAAACTTCGAGAGTTTCGGAACACTATTAAGTTTTTAGCCAGTGGGAGAATTAGTGTAAGCAGGAAAAGACGAGTACTGTTAGTGTATCACAAATTAATACCACTCCTGATTAAGCCTCTGTTGCATTTACTAGACGAACAATGAGATGCTTGAACTGTTTCTAATGATATTTCAATAAAAGTTAGTTACTTGTATTTTGTTTTTTGTCTCTTTATTATATTTTCACAAAGTGCATATTGGTTAGGTATCTCAATTGAAGAAAGTGTCAGTAAAATTTAAATTCCTTCTCGCTTTCAAAACTTTACTTCAGTAGAGATACCAAACCAAGACTATCAGCCTTAAATACAAAGGGAACAGGTCTTACCTTTCATAGAATGAAAAAAAATCCAAGATGAACACACAAGATAGAATAAATGATTTAATATCAAACACATATAAAAACACACATGTAGGTCCCGAAAAAATATACAGAATATTAAAATCCAAAGGAATCACTAATGTTGGACGATCCAGGATAAAAAGACTATTACGAAGTCAAGACAGTTACACTTTAAGAAAGGAACTCCGTCATTCTTTTCGTCGTGCACGTGTAATTGTATCTGGAATTGATGATCAGTGGGACATGGACCTCGCTGATATGTCAAACATTGCAAGTGAAAACGGTCAGTTTCGATACCTATTAGTCGTCGTGGATATCTTTTCAAAGTATCTGTGGATTCAGGTTCTGAAAAATAAATCAGCAAAAGTTGTAGTCGAGGCAATGAAGAAAATTTTAGCTGGTAACAGAAAATGTAAAAAGATTCGAACTGATAAAGGAAAAGAATTTAACAACAACATAATGAAATCATATCTGAAAAATGAAGGTATACAATATTTCACCACACAGAATTCAGAAACAAAGGCTAACTACGCTGAAAGAGTTATCAAGACTGTGAAAAATATGATGTATCGATACTTCACAGAGAGGAGAAATCATAGGTACTTGGATGTACTTCAAGATATTGTTAAAGTATACAATTCTACTCCACATAGAAGCTTGAACAATATCCAACCAAAAGACGTCAGCAAAACAAACGAAGCAGATATATGGGCATATATGTATTTAAAACCAAAGAAAATAACATCAAAAAAGCCTCGATCATACCACTTTAAGGCTAATGACTTCGTTCGTATTTCTTACATTTCTATGCTATTTGACCGTTCATATGATGAACATTTCACAAGAGAAATTTTTAAAGTTAGCCAAAGATTTCGAATGCAGGCTATACCGGTTTATAGAATAAAGGAGTATGATGGAACTTCCATAAAAGGATTATTTTATGAATCAGAGATGGTTAAAGTGAACAAGGATGAAGATGTTATGTGGTATGTAGAAAAAAAAATTCGAAAACGTAAGAGAAATGGACGGGTTCAGTGGTTAGTTAAGTTTGAAGGGTGGCCAAATAAATATAATCAGTGGTTGAATGAAGAGGATATCACAGATCCAAATGACTCCTGAAGATGAGCATCTACATAACATTCAATAGTGAAAAATCTCTGAACTATTTTCCAAACAACAAAGCATATACTTTTTCTTCTCAACTGAATTCACCTGTGTTTTTGAATGGAAATTGGAGAGTTGCCTTAGTTGAAGCAGACATTTCAAGTAGCATATCTAAATCAGAATCCATTTACCTGTATTCTAATATTTGTGGTGAATCTATTGTCGATGGAGAACAAAAGCCACTTCTTCGAAGGTTAAGTGCAGCCTCTATGGGAAACTGGTCAAACATTTTCGAAGTTCCGCATTATGTTCCTGTAAAAATAAATGACCTCTATAATATTGATATCTATATAACTGATGGTGACAACAATCTAGCTTCATTTTTAGATATTCCTGCAACGGTAACACTACACTTCAAATCGTTTCCATTCTTTTAAAAATGAACAAGATGTATGTGCCAAATGTAGGAAGCTGGATTAATTATTATGAGAAGCTAGACAGAAAAGGTCATCACAATACTAACAAAGGTCAAAAACAAATCGGAGGTGGGTCTCTAACTGGAACCTCAAGGTCATCCATTACACCAATCGGCATACCAACCAAAACCCCTTCTGGTGAGAAAGTAAAAATTCAACTTGTCTCCCCCGTCCATCAAACGGATGAAATGGCCAAGGACATGGTTGAAAGAGAGAAAAAGACATTAAAAAGAAAGCCATCTAGTTATGATGCCAATTCTTCCAAAAGACGTCGAACGAACGAGACCTCCAAAAAGCCCAGTAAAACCACCAAAAAGTTGACTAAGCACAAAAAGTCAAGAAAGACAACCAAAGCATCAAACAAGAAGAGACATACGAAGAAAAAAACCAACAAGAAAAAACTGCAAAGCTCTGTGAAAACCTTCAAAGACATATTCAAGTAAATGGCTGCTTTATCGTTAGATGGGTTCCAAGAAGCTCAGCCAAGTGGTTTGGATCTGTTTTCATTACCACCAACACAGACAGCGATTGATTCAGTGTATTATGATGAGCATAGGTCAACAGCACAGCTAACTGGAACTGCGCCAGTAGAATTTAACATTGCAGCCCAAAATTCACTGGAGTATATAGATTTGAGAAAAACAAAATTATATGTAAAAGCGAGAATAAAACATATCAATGGAGACAGTCTAAAACCTACTGAGTATGTTGGTCCAGTTAACAATTTTCTACATTCTATGTTCTCACAGATTGATATAACATTACAAAATAAGTTGGTGACATCAACTACCACACATTATCCATACAAGGCAATGATACAAACTCTTTTATCTTTTGGATCTGAAGCAAAAAAATCTCAGCTGACTAGCCAGTTATGGAAAAAAGATCAACCAGGACATTTTGATGATAGTGATGTAGAAAATGGTGGCAATTCTTCCTTATTCGATCGCGCACAGTATTTTACTCAAAGTCAAGTGTGTGATTTAGAAGGTCCGTTATTTCATGATTTATGTAGTCTGGACAGATACATGCTGAATCAAGTAGCTATTAATGTTAAACTTTACCGTTCAAGACCTGAGTTTGCTTTGATGACAAGTGAAAAAGATCCAAATTTTCAAGTCATCATCGATGACATAGTGTTAAAAGTGTGCAAAATACGTTTAAACCCTGCTGTCATTATGGCACATGCGCAGAAACTACAAACAACAAATGCTAGATATCCCTATACCAGAACAGAAGTGCGCCTTATTTCTATACCTGCTGGGAGTCTTAGTTTCAATTACAATAATTTGTTCAACGGGCTCCGACCGACTCGTTGCGTTATAGCTTTTACAGAGTCCGCTAGTTCTAGTGGTTCATATACGTTAAATCCATTCAACTTTCAACATTTCAACCTTAGTCAAATAACGCTCAAACTGAACCAAGTTCCTGTAGGTGGGAATATTATGCAGTTAAACTATGGAGCCACGAGTCGAACTATACTACCTGCTTTTAATAGTATGTTTGAAGTGACTAACAAGTGGATGAGAGACAGTGGAAATCAGTTGAGTAGAAATGATATAGCAGGAGGAAATGCTTTATATTGTTTTGAAATAGAACCAAATTTCAGCGACGAGGGACAGTACTTAAACTTAGTGAAACAAGGAACTTGTTCTCTAGAAGTCAATTTCAATGCACCACTGCCGAAAGCGTCCACGTGTGTTGTGTATGCAGAGTTTCCAGCTTATTTTGAAATAAATTTAGAAAGAAACATCATTTTAGAATGAATACTTACCAGCTCAAGTGTGCCATTGTTTCAGACGTTGACTTACAACGATCTGTTCTTGGTGTATTCTCATCTGATGAACTGTCTCAAGTTCACCTACTACCAGGAATGGGTGTGATAGCCAATACAGATGTCGCAGGCTTACCAGGAAGACATTGGGTAGCATTTTTCTGTAATAGAAAGAACAGTCTTGAAGTATTTGACTCTTTTGGGTATTCAGAAAAAGAACTCACTGTTTATTTTAACAAATTCATGCGGAATTATGCATACATACAATCAAACGAGAAAAGACTACAAGGTGATGACACAGTTGTGTGTGGACAATATTGTTTGTTTTATTTAATGTGTCGTGTGAGAGGATTTACCATGCAACAGATAACAGATGTGTTTTCAGAAGACTATCAATTGAATGACAATTTTGTGTACAGTTTTATAGACAATCGGTTTCATTGCTGTGTGAACAATGTGTGTAATGTTGTGAATCAATCTTGTATCAAAATAAAAAATTAATGCTTATATGTTATTGTTGGTGTTGTTGTTGCCTCTCTTTTTTTTACATATAAAACAGTTTGTCTCTCAGCTATTTTTATTATTTCACTTGAACAGTATGGTTGACTGGTGGGAGAAGGAAAGTTTGCTCAAATTTCAGAGTCCAACATCAATATTCATTGTTGGTCCGTCAAATTCAGGAAAAACAATGTATACCAAAAACCTTCTTGAAAATGCAGATGGTATGTTTCAAGTACCACCGTCGAAGATATTTTACTGTTACAGTATTTGGCAGTCAGTTTTCGATGAAATGAAATCAGCAATACCAAACATTGAATTTTTTCAAGGTTTCCCCCATATGGATGTTTTATCAGAATGGGGGACTTTACAAGGGCATAAGGTTCTTGTTTTAGATGACCTGATGGTGGAATCTGCAGATAGTAAAGAACTGGTTCATCTCTTAACTGTAGGAATTCACCATAATTCAATCACTTTGATTCAGATTCTACATAACTTGTATTGTAAAGGTAAAGCCATGAGAACAGCCTCCCTCAATTGCCATTACTTTGTTTTATTTCGGAATTATAGAGATCAGTTACAAATTCAAACTCTTGGTAGGCAGATTTTTCCCAGACAGTCTAAATACTTTTTAGATGCATACAAGAAGGCGACATCTGTAGCCTATCGCCCATTAATTATTGATTTAAATCCACATACAGACAAAACATATCAGTTGACAACAGATCGTGGAGTTGGACAGACACCTATCGTATATCACTCTGCAGAATGAAGGACTATTTAGCACATTTTCTTTTGAATGCTACTGCAAAACAAATTTCTCAAGCGATTAAATCACTAAGCAAGGAACAGTTGGAATGGTTGGTTGAAATAATATACAATGTGATGCAAGGAGTTTGCCCCATTTCAAGTGTTGATAAAACTTTGCTGACCAAGAAAAAGAAGCTCATACGTAAAATTGTTTCCAAAGGAGCAGCATATAAACAGAGAAAATTATATTTATTAAAAATAAGAGGACTGCTTCCTATTTTCCTAAAGACATATCTCCGTTATGTCTCGCGAACTGATTCTGATTCCTAAACTGAGGTATGAACAATTAAAAAATCCAGAGACATTGCCGGAAAAAAGAGAAAATCGAGATCAAGATCAGCCGAAAGATAAACCAGAAAATATCGATGACTTGGAAAGTAAACAGTTAGTAGAGGACTTTCAACCTGAAAAATTGAAGAAGTCAAACAAAAAGAGAAAAATTACACAACACGAGGAAAGTAAACCATATATCGCTATGTCCCTTAAAACAATGCTGCAAGAGAAAAGTAAACAAAAACCAAAGATGAAATGGTTATCGTTTCGAATTTAGATGTCATGTGACATCGTCACGTGTATTTAAATTGAGGAAATTAGGTAGCTGTTATCATTTTGTGTAAAGTGAAAAGCATGGCTCACCGCGGTGTTCATACCAATGATTTACATTTTAACGAATCTGATGATGGTATGTTGGTGAAGGCAGCCATAGAGGTTGAGAATAAACTCAAACGTAAGAAATCATGTGCTGAAAATGTTGATGTCAAAAGACCAAAGTTAAATTGTGATATTTGTGATAAAACTTTCAAATACAACAGAAATTTGAACAGACATATGAATTCACATTTTAACAGAATTCAGTGTTTAGCGTGTGGGAAATCGTTTACGCAAAAACATAATTTAGTCAAACATGGTAATAAGTGTTCTGGACAGCGCACAATAAACAAACGAGATAAACAATTATCTAAGCAACTTACATGTAGACACTGTGATGTCTCCTTTGATGATGTTGATTCTTTATTCACCCATGTTGCCAACCATCATCCGTTAAACCAAACAGGAGGTAGAATGCCTAAAACGGAGGAGCCAGTTGTCAGTCAGATAAAACGTAAACGGTTTCGTTTTAAGAAAAGCGCCATTAACAAATCAGTGAATCGTGTAGACCTTATGCCTATTGGTGATGAAAAATATGATTTATTACGTTTTTTGGCTAATACGAAAACTGATGTTGAAGAAATAATAGTATCTCAGCAAAAGAAACAAAAAAATGTCAAATGGTATGTAAATGCTCGAGTGAAGATGGTTCGAGATATTGATGATGGACAACAAGAAAAGGCACACCCACATTTCCGCAGCAAAAGTTACATATCTCTTCAGAATGAGAGTAATGATCATAATTTAAATGAAGCTTTCCAAACGATTAACAGAGTAATGGAAGAATTTATCAACAAGGGATCTAACTGGATATTGAATAAAGTTATATGCCTCGAAGTACATACTTTACCATACTCACCCATAGCTGGTTCAAATTATATGGAATTACCATACAAAATTAAGGCCACTGGTGGAATTATCAACATTAGAAATGATGACCAAAAGTGTTTCCTATGGTCTGTACTGGCAGCCCTACATCCGATGGAATATAATCCATATCGGAAGTCACATTATACGGCACACGAAAATGAATTGAACATGAACGATATTGAATATCCTGTGTCTTTAACAAAAATGGAGAAATTTGAGAAACAAAACAATATTTCAATCAATGTTTTTGGCTTTGAAAGCGAAGAAGTGTTCCCACTATATTTAACAAAGTTAGAAAATGTAGATAGGGAGATCGATTTATTGTATTTATCACAGAACGGGGAAACTCACTACTGTTGGATCAAAAAGTTAGATCGTTTCCTTGGATCAATGACTAAATTTCACACCAAACGGTTTTACTGTAGAAGATGTCTTCACGGATTCATAAGACAAGACTTATTAAATGAACACAGACTATATTGTAATAAGTTTGATTTTCAAAAAGTGACTTATCCAAAAGAAGGAGAAGCCATTTTAGAATTTAGAGACTTTCATAAACAAATGCGTGTTCCTTTTGTCATCTATGCAGACTTTGAATGCTTTGCAAAAAAGATGGATACTTGTCAACCAGACCCAAATCAATCGTCAACAACACAAAAAACAAAATTTGTTCCATGTGGTTACTCCTACGTTGTGGTCAGTTCAAATGATAGATATTCCAAGCCAGCCGTTGTATACAGAGGAGAGAACGCAGTCGAACACTTTTTTGAAAATATATTTACAGAGGAAGAATACATAGATGATATATTGAGGAACATTTATGAGGAGTTAATTATGAGTGTGGAAACCGAAACGCAATTTCAAAATGCTACAAACTGTTATGTATGCAATCAACCATTTTCAGGCAAAATAATCAAAGTTCGTGACCACGACCATTTAGGTATAAACGAAGATAACGAATCACCAAAGTATAGCAATTACAGAGGGGCAGCCTGTCAGAGATGCAACTTGATGTTGAAAAATCCAAATTTCATTCCGGTCTATTTTCATAATTTGCGGAACTTTGATGCACACCTTTTGCTGTCGGAAGCTGGTAAATTCAAGGACAAAAAATTAACATGTATACCAAACAATATGGAGAAATATGTGTCCTTTTCTGTTGGACAACTGAGGTTTTTAGACACATACCAGTGCATGAGTAGCTCTTTGGAGACGTTAATTGCTAATTTAGCGGCAGACGGCTTTAAAAATTTCAAACAATTTCGAAAAGCTTTCCCCAATGACGAACACGCTAAACTTTTGCTACAGAAAAACGAATACTGTTATGATTATGTGAATTGTTCTGAAAGATTTGAAGAGACAGCTCTCCCTTCAAAAGCAGCTTTTTATAATTCCTTAACCAAAGAAGCTATTTCTGATGAAAAGTATGAACACGCTCAAAAGGTCTGGAACACGTTCAATATGAAAACCTTAGGGGATTTTCACAATTTGTATGTATTAACAGATACGCTACTCTTAGCAGATGTTTTCGAACGATTCCGTGACATGACTCTTGAATATTACAAGTTGGATGCTAGTCACTTTTTCACGAGTCCAGGTTTAGCATGGCAAGCAGCATTGAAAATGAGCGGTGTCTGCCTGGATTTAATAACTGATCCCCTCATGTACAACATGATAGAGCTTGGAACACGAGGTGGGGTCAGTATGGTTACCAAAAAATACAGTCGAGCTAATCATCAATATGTTGACGACTTTAATGAATCAGATGTGAAAAAACACATCATGTATCTAGATGCTAACAATTTGTACGGTTGGGCAATGTCTCAACCATTGCCTTCTGGTTTTTTCCATTTTTTAAATGAAGATGAAATTAGTCATTTTGAGTTACAGAAAGTCGAGTCAGACGCAAAAGAAGGCTACATTTTAGAAGTAGACATAGAATATCCTGAACATCTCCACAACAAACATAACGATTATCCTCTGGCACCCGAACATCTACTCATTGAAGACAAAGATCTATCGAAATACAGTACTGATTTATGGGGAAAGTTAAATTCTGTGAAGAATGCAAATGGTGTGGAAAAAGTGAAACCTAGGATTAAAACCCGAAAATTAATTCCAACTCTGAAGAAAAAGACAAACTATGTGGTGCATTATCAAAATTTACAACTTTATACAGAACTTGGAATGAAAATAACTAAAATACATAGAGTATTAGGATTTCAACAAAAGGCATGGCTTAAAACCTACATAGAATTCAACACCAACATGAGAAAACAGGCAAACAACGACTTTGAGAAGGACTTTTTCAAACTGATGTGTAATAGGTATGTTTCTCGTTTTTTTTTTTTTTATATAGATTAGACCGTTGGTTTTCTCGTTTGAATGGTTTTACACTTTTGGGGCTCTTTATAGCTTGTTGTTCGGTGTGAGCCAAGGCTCCGTGTTGAAGGCCGTACATTAGCCTATTATGGTTTACTTTTTTTTTTAAATTGTTATTTGAATGGAGAGTTGTCTCATTGGCTCTCACACCACATCTTCCTATATCTATGTTATTTTTAAATGTGTAAGATTTTAAAGTGTTGTCAAGATCTCGAGTTTGCTTGTTGTCTCATTGTCGCATTACCCACATTGATTTAATTATGTTTTGTGGTTTTTGTGTCAGCTTCTAGTACTTATCTAAAAGTATTCCTACTTTTTCAGTGTTTTTGGTAAATGTATGGAAAATTTGCGTGCTAGGATGAATCTAAGACTAATCAATTCAGCCTCGGAAGAAAAACTAAAAAAGTTAGTAGCTCAGCCGTCGTTTCTATGCTGCCAAATTTTCAATGAAGACCTCGTTGGAGTACACAACCAACAGATCAACCTAACTCTCAATAAACCCATCTATGCCGGACAAGCTATTTTAGACCTTTCAAAGAGACTGATGTATGAATTCCATTACAAGGTGATGAAGCCACAGTACGGTGACAAGATCAACTTGCTGTTTACAGATACAGGTATGATATTTTTTTGTTTGTTTGTTTGTTAAAATAAAAGCCATTGTTTCTTTAAATTTCTAATATTTCTCATTGTTTTCTCCTTTGTATAAGTAGAATAAAGGAAGAGATTCCTCTTTGGTATTGTGCTAACATTTCTGAATTCATTTTAGATTCGTTGTGTTATGAGATTCTGACTGATGATGTATATGAAGACATGAAACCTATCAAAGACCTATTCGATACCTCCAACTACGGCTCATTCAACAAAACGAAACATCTCTTTTCCAGCAAATATAAGAAAGTCGTTGGGAAATTTAAAGATGAGCTTGGTGGTGAGTTCTTTCAAACAAACATTTTATTTTTCTCTCTCTCTAAAGTTTAACATAAATTTTCTTTCAAATTTTCCTTTTTCTTGTGAATTTTCTGTAAAATTTTCCTTTTTCTTTTGAATTTTCTGTAAAATTTTCCTTTTTCTTTTGAATTTTCTGTAAAATTTTCCTTTTTCTTTAGAATTTTCTGTAAAATTTTCCTTTTTCTTTAGAATTTTCTGTTAAATTTTCCTTTTTCTTGTGAAATTTATGTTAAATTTTCCTTTTTCATGTGAATTTTCTGTTAAATTTTCCTTTTTCTTTTGAATTTTCTTTTAAATTTTCCTTTTTTCTTTGAATTTTCTGTTAAATTATTATTAAATATTGTCTTTCTCATGTGCCTCAAAAAATCTTTTCAGGTGTTCCTTTAAAAGAATTCGTTGGCTTGAGACCTAAAATGTACAGCCTTTTGTATAACCAGACCTCTACAGAAGGTATCACATGCGAAAAGGAAAAAAAAGTGGCGAAAGGCATTTCAAAAACTGAAATAAAACAGACTCTCCGACATGAAATGTATAAGACATGTTTGAATGAAGAAACTACGACCACCAATTCAATGACGTGCATTAGAAGTAAAAATCATGAACTTTTCATGGATACCGTTGTGAAAAAAGGACTGTGTAGTTTTGATGATAAACGTTACTGGAAGAACCCAATTGAAAGCTATGCCTATGGACATTATAAGATAGACACATATTAGTGATAGTATTTATTAAATATTTAAAAAAAAAACTAACCGTGTCAGTCTGTTTGCATATATGTCCGTAATGAAATTTATAAATGTTATTCCTATAAACACCACATTGAATGAAAGTCACACCACATTGAGCATCATCACATCGATTGGAAAAAGGCTCCCATTTCCTCCTCAGAGAGATCATATAAATTGTTTTGCACAGGGGAAATCTGTTCATATTTTGTATTCTTCCCAGACCACTGTGGGTTTAATTCTTCACGTATCGGTCTCTTTGCGGCCATCCTCACCGGAATCATATTTCCTTTGCTCCACATCGGGTCTGTTATAGTTTGAAGTGGAGTGGTAGTTGACGTCTCGTTTTCATATATTATTGTTAGAGGTGCCTGCAATAATAAAAATGAAATATTTAAATAAATAAACCAGAGAGAAATGAAATACTTTCAGTGTTGCTTATCTTTTTTTTTTTTAAGGACAAAAGGTTGTTTGCAAGTTCAATTCTATACTTAAAAAACAAGTATTGCTTTGTTCGCATTTAAGTGTATCAAGTTAAGAATACATGGTGATTCTTGAGAAGAACAAAAAAAAAACCCACCCTCTATTGCAAGACTTACCTATTGTATGTATTGTTAACTTGTTCTCACCCTGAGCATGTATGAAATATTTGCCACTGGACGTTAACCAACCAACAATCAATCATGATTCTTGAACATATTTAAACTCTACATTAATAAATGTATACTTACGGAAGGTGTTGGTGGTGGTTGCTTAACGTCCAGTGGCAAATATTTCATACATGTTCAGGGTGAGAACAAGTTCAGAATACATGGTGATTCTTGAGAAGAAGAAAAAAAACCCACCCTCTATTGCAAGACTTACCTATTGTATGTATTGTTAACTTGTTCTCACCCTGAACATGTATGAAATATTTGCCACTGGACGTTAAGCAACCAACAATCAATCATGATTCTTGAACATATTTAAACTCTACATTAATAAATGTATACTTACGGAAGGTGTTGGTGGTGGTGGCGGTGCATAAACCGGCGCTACATTTTCTTTAAGTACAACCTGCTCCTGTGGCTGGGAGAGCGGCTAAAACATGAAAAATAAAATAAAACTCAAACTCAAATGTTATGAAGAAAGTTTTATACTTGCGAGAGGTGTTGGTGGTGTGCATATTGTTTTTCGTTCATTATTTTGTACATAAATTAGGTTGTTATCTTTTTTCTCCCCTCGGATGTTTGTTTTACATTCATCATTTTGAAGCTATTTATAGCTGACTATGAGGTATGGGTTTTGCTTATTGTTGATGGTCGCAAGGTGACCAAAAGTTGACAATTTCTGTATCATTTGGTCTCTTGTGAAGAGTTATCTTATTAACAATCATACCACATCTTCGTTTTATGTTATTCAATTGTTGCATTAAATTAGTTAAAATAAAAGGCAAATGTGAACACCGATATCTCCCCTAACAAAAGCGAGGTAGATAGATAAACAGAAAGATAAACGGTAATAGACAATACTTAAAACCTTCCTGTTGTTTACGGTAAGCGCATACAAACAGAGAAAAAAAAACACCTCAAAGGGTATAATCTTTAATTTTCCTTGGTTTTTAAAGAAAACTCCTACATGTGAACCTCGTGTAAAAACAAAAAGAAAGAAAATAGTCTTACCTGTGGAAAGTATGCAGTTAGGGACTCTAGGTGCCCCCTCAGTGTAAACAGATCATCCAGCTCGTCTAGCCCTAAATTCAGCTTCATTGATCCATTTGACGCAGCCAAGTCTAAATAAAAGAGTCCTCTAGCGGACTTTTTATAGGTAAGCACTTTCCCTCTCCCGAATTGAGTTTTGTATTCCGTTCTACCAGTGGAAGTAATAATTTGACTAAATTGAACATTTTCGGCTGCCATTATAACACTTAATCGTAAATAGATTTCTAGACAAAGGTTAGAAGTACTGACTTGTAAACGAAAAATACGCACTACTATATTTATTTCATTTTTCTAGCTAATATTATCTAAACCAATAATATTACACTTTGAAGTATGGGGTGGGACTAATGGAGGGATAACCACCCCATTCTTAGGTTTCGCATAACAACTCTATACCAAATTGTTTATGTGGTGCGCAAACAAAAATGCGCTTAACAACAAAACAACGTGTTGATGAATCTCTAGAAACTATACTGTGATAATATTTCATCTGCTTTATTTTTGGGTTTCTTAACTTAAAATCTTTATCTAAAGCAGCTACATTGTAAAAAAAACCCCAAAACGTTCGATTTTTTTTCTGAAATTTTTTTTTGAGTGCCATTGTCTCGTACCTAATATTTTCTTATTATATGTTTCCGTTCCCTCCTTTTTTTTCGAGTTATGCTATTGTTGAAGATCATATAGCAACATCTCAATTCTTTCATATTTATTCTTTTTCGTATTGTTCTTTTTATTTTTTTTTTGTTGACACAATCATAATCTCCCGCCTTTTTATTTTTAATTAAACTGTTGATTATGTGCACATGCGCAAACGATTCACAGAGAAAAAACTGAAAAATCAAAAAATGGTGCCCGCTAAGTGTTTGTTGTTGTTGAGTATTGTTGTATGTAATGGCCAAGTGCATGACCTTAATATAAGGAAATGCAGAAGTGTGGTTGATGAAAGCTACGAGGTAGTGGAGCTGCAGTGCCTGTATGAGGGGGAAGGCAGCTACATTTTCAATGGGCCGACTTCAGTGAAGAAGATTACCCTGGACAGACTGGCGGGTTCCAGTACATTAATGACTTTTGGCCAGCAGTTAGAAAAAGTAGCCATCAAAACATGCACCATAGACAATTGTTGCCAGGCCATTGTAGCAACCCCTAGCACGGAAGTGCAGATTGCGGATAAAGTTTGTGTAAGATGCTATTACGTAACTTGTTTTCAACATCCGCCATTTTTATTGTTTACAAAAAATTGACACCTACTTTATGAAAGACAAATTCCCTTTATTTTCTTTTGAAAGTATAACAATATAAGAAAAGAAATATTTGTTAGCATAATTTTAATTGTATTTCTATTAAACAGATTTGTGTTAAAAACTATAAATATTAAATTTGATAACTGTCTATAAATATTATTGTTTTTGTTTACAGTCACTGGAAGACCTTGTTTCCTCTACTGGTGTGGTTGAGACCTCTCCTCATACGGAGGGGGGTTCTCCTGACTCCTCAACAGAATGGTCTCAAAGCGCTCCAACATCAGCAGTGTACGAGCACAGCCAAATGTCCAGCACTCTCCCTGACCATCAACAGGTGGGTTTTCACCTATAGGGCAAAGAGAATCCCTACTTAACATAACCATTGCATTGTGGTGATGTATTCTAAAAAACATGAAAACACTGCTGTTAAAATTAACGTAAACAATTTTGAAAGTACTTATTTTCACTATTTTAGACATTTATACTTATAAATTTCTCATGCTTTAAATTCAGCTAAAGCTAAATGTGTATTGATTGTAACATGTAGTAGGGTGTGGATTAGGTTATGTTATTTTATTTGTGTACATGTAGTTTATTATTTAATTTTTTATTTTAGACTACTACAGAAAATGAGACGAACTCAACAACACCGTGGATAGTAGCAACCGTCACCACTTTAACAGGTAGCTTAAAAGTTTATATAATTTTTCTTGGAGTAATTTTGTTTCTTTTAATTGTCTTAATTTTGGTGTTCTTATTAAAAAAGTATTACTATCAATCAGACTACATTCCAGTTAAGAACGATGATTCTTTATATGTTGAAATGGATACCATAACTAGTTAAATTATTTCTTTTCTTGTAGTACTTCTGGTGATAGCTCTCATTTGTTTGGGGAAGAAATGTTTGAGGAATAGTAGGGGAGGGTTAATTGAGCATTGTCTTCCTCTACAGGAGATTCCTACTGCCCCTAAATATAAGGACTATTAGGATAAAAGAAATAATTATTAATTTAAATTGTAATTTCAATATCACTGCTTTTAACTCTTTTTTTTCAATATCACTGCTTTTAACTCTTTTTTTTTTTACTTACAGTGATATTCTTTCTAATAGGTGGATTTATTGTTTGGAGGAAAAGACATTCTCAAAATATTTCAAACTCTGAAGATGAACTCTATAATAAAGCCTGGTACAATTTAAGTAGTGACAATTTATAAAATTTGTATTTTTTTTTTTATTTTCTTCTTGTAGAGCAATTTCAAGTTCTAATCTTTACCATGATTAGTGTATTAGTGGTTTTAAACCGTATCCATAGACTTTTGTTAAATGCAATACCAGCTATTAGAAACTTCATCCCCCCTGTAAGACAGCTTATTAACCCTCCTCAACATCAACCACCACACCAAGCAGCAGTCCAACCTATACCACCTGCAGTACACCAGGAAGTCATCCTACCCTTACCAGCACCTCCACTCATTTTAAGAAGAAGCACCAGACAGTCCATACCACCCAACAGGCTTAATTTGTGATTAATTTGTGTATTATGTTTTTTTTTTGTTTGTTTTCAAACCAAACTTCTATATAATTTGTGTAATTAAGATGTACCTAACACTACAGGGGGATAACTCTGTAAAATCAGCTAAATGTTAATTATGATATGTATTTAAGGGCATTGTAATAAGCTTCTCAATGGTTGAAATTAGTGTTTGTTAAACTGTTATATACCCAGTGTAATTTTTATAAAGAAATGGTTGGTTCAAATATTTTGAAATTTTTATCAAAGGTTCAAAATAAATACTTTGTTAAAATTTTATGAAAACTCAACAAACCAAATTTATTTTAGGTAAGGTGTTAGATACCACCTTAATTATAAAACTATGAATAATACCATTGTAAGACTAGCTTTATGAATCATATTGCTTCATTAAGTAACTTCATATACAAAAATGTTTAAAGTATTTCTTACCTGTCCTTTAAGATATCTAATCCTATCTGCAGCATGTCTCGGCTTTGCACACTATTAGCTGTATTGCACTGCTGCATCAGTTCTCCCAAAAATGTCTCGCTCATTCGTATGAGACATCCTATCCTAGTTTCCCTGCTTTCATGCAACAAAGCATGATATAGTGCAGAAACATTAAATTGCATGCTACTGAATGTGTTGATGGGTTGCTGACAATACCAATTCTTTATTTCTTCAAACAACTCAGGTTGTATTGAACACTTATAACATGGGAAAAAATGACTCCCCACTACTGGTATATGTTGAGATACAAAATTAGTCAATTGAGAAAGAAAGTTACTGATTGAAGCACGATGATCCATCATAAAGTTTTCTAAATAGAATGAAAGTATAACATTTTTCCTAAATATTAAAGGACTTATTCTTCTCTCTTGGTTATGATAAGATTCATTAAATAAAGTTGGGTTGATAAATTTAATTCATTTAGACTTAACTGAGATGCCATTTTAGGATTAATTTATATATGACTAAGCATCCATTGTGATAACAAAGGAGATATTAGCATTTCTATGCTATATTATCTTAAGAAGTTTATTGAGGGGGGCTTTTTTTTTTTATTATTGAAGGTTTTAACAAAGGAGAGTGATAATTTTCCATACATAAGAAAGACTCAACATCCTGTGTTTGACATGATTATAAATTATGGATAAATTGATACATTTTTCGCTTAATTTCTCTCTTTAAATTTATTTTTATGATGAAAATAGGGAATAAGTCAGATTTTTGAAATGATGTTACTTTAAAGGGTGTTGTTTATATTATACATATCTAGAAGTTTTGTATATATGTTTACACAAGTCTGTTTTGTTATGTTAAGAAGAAGTTTAACTCAAATTAGAAGTAATATATGTTTATCTGTCTGATGTTCTCCATTAACAGTTAATTAGTTTTGAAACTTGATTGCAATTAAGACAATTTCCTATACTCTACATTTAAAGATTGTTATACATGTTTATCTATCAACAGTTATTTAGCTTGAGGCTTGATTGTAATTAAAAATATTTAGTAATTATACAGTATGATAACTTCTAAAGGAAGAAAATCAAAATATTTATGAAGCTTTACATCAGAGGAATTATCTGATATGATCTATCAGATTAAAAGATAACGTTTATTTGGTCTTAAAAATAATGTAAAAATATCAAAAATGCTAAAGAGGTTGATGGGGAACATTAAATAGACCTTAGTAGTATATGAAATGTTTATACTGTAATATAAAACATGTATATAGTCTTTGTTTTTCTTGTTATTAAGCAATATAGTTGTGATAATTTATTAAATGTTAATTGTTTTAAAGTTGGTGCTAAATAATTGTGATAATCATTAAAGTTCATATTTCAAATCATGATAGTTGTACTCCTGATAACATGCTGTTATATATATTTAATATATTCATTTACAATGATAGTTTAAGAGAGGAAAATATACTCTATAAAGACAAGTTTTATAAAAAAAAAGTAGTGCTTATACTATAGTTTTGGTGCTAACTGTTTTATGGTGCTATGCATTCCGCCAGATTCCCCTATAAAGACAAGTTTTATAAAGAGAGTAGTACACTACATTTTTACTAAAGTTTTGGTGCTGTGTATTCTTACATTGAAAAAATAAACATTTACGGTTGTTAATCAAACCATGATACCTGTATATATTTTATCTATATTTTGTTACTTTAGTGCAACATTCCATCTTTTAATTTTTGCTTCATGCGTGTTTTCATTTTAAACGTGGAAACCATGTGGGTTATATTTTTATTTTATAACATAATTTATCTTCTATCACATTCCATCAAGTTACTTTTTATATTGTAGTCATTTTTAAAAACTAGAATCATCTAGTTAATCATATTACTATATGTAATCTTTTACATGTCTCTTTTTAGAAATCCATTCTTGTTTAAAAAAAAAACATTTGTTTTAGAAGCTTTATAAAATTTTATATATATTAGAAACAAACTCAGGGTTGTATGCTCAAATATCGGTTTTAATACAAGTTTTTATATACTATACATATATTGTAATATTTATTTTTTATGCTAAAAATACTCAATCAGTTTTTGCAATAATGGTGATCTACACAAAATGTGATGTATACATAATGTATATAAGTTTTTGATAATAAAAATAATTTATTTTCTTCAATCTTTGTTTTATCTCCTCTCAAGTTTCTGTAGTTTGTGTGTTGTGGAAAGAAAATGAATGCCACCCCTTGCCAACAACCATCTCTCTCACATATTGACTAACTCCAAGCAAATAACAATTTAGACAAGCAAAAAACAACACAAAATTCTACAACGTGGACAACATGGACGTCATCTCAAACGTACCCTGGTTACCAACCAATGTTGCTCTACCTTGAAAAAGTCAGCAACGTGGAAACAAAAATGGACGACAAACATACCCCTGGTTACCGACCAATGTTGCTCTACCTTGCAACGTGGAAACAAAATGGACGACAAACATAACCTGGTTACCAACCAATGTTGCTCTACCTTGGTCAAAAGTATGACACGTGGACACAAACATTCCACCATCACTAGCACAATATTTACATAAGCTGCTCTACCTGCTCTACTGTTTTCTTATCCCTATTCTACTACTACTGCTTGAAATATTGTAAAGACATATGTATCCATTGAAGAAACCCTAGTGTTGACCTTGTTTGGGTTTTTGCGTTAATTTGGTTGCTGTCTTATTCATGATACCCTACATCTCCTTTTATTTACACAAATAAATCTGGCAACGCTTTAAATATTTTTACATACATGTATACTTGCTTTCAAAACGAAACTTTACCGACGCTTATGTGTATAAAATACCCCTTCCAAAAAAGTTACCTGTATTAAACGTATGAAGTCTCATTATTTCCCTTTCGGAAGTTGACCTTAGAAGTAGAACGTTTTGTCATCACAATTTCACTGAACCTTGTCTGAATAATTAAAACGTCTTGAAAGGTTATTTCATTTGTTTTGCTGTGATGCCTTCCTGCGCAAAAATTAGAATAGTCATTCAAGACGTCTTGATTATTCGGACTACACGATGCCTTCCTGCGCCAAAATTAGAATAGCCTTTGAAGACAGCTGTACCGTGATGGACGTTGGCGTGATAAGGAATTCGACACATGTTTACATCAACCCACTTCTCCGCCATACCCGGATAAATGAACATTAAAATTAATTGAAAATAAGTCATTTGAAGGTACCTGTTTTCACATATTTTTTTTTATACTTTTGAATTATGTCAGTTAATAGATACTTATCTTCAGTTTTTGTTTTAATTTTTGTTAACTACATACAGAAGCATACGAGATCCTTTTTATATATGTTTTTATGAACGTAACATTTGTTAGTGACTCTGCACACTCACGACAGTATGTTTGTTGATATAGCGTAACTTAGTTAAATCATTACGTGTGCATTTTATACATAACAGAATCGCTAATGCTTCGGCTATTTATATATAAGCGTGTAATATTATTATCCTGTATAACGATATGCATGAGTGAGAACTGTAATGTTATTGATGCTTTGTAACTCAGGAACTGATCTAATACAAATCACCAAGTTAATTATGAATACGAAAGTTAAAATAATATTTTTTATATTTGATGGAAACACAATTGATCACAATTGAATAATAAAGACAGATCAAAACTCAATTAGTTTGAATCACTTTTGCGTTTGACCTTGCGGCATTAAAATATCGATCCAACACTTCACTATCTACTTGAATGAATACTTCACTGTCATTTTCATAACCTACTATCATGATTTCTTTCTGGCCTATCTTACGGATACACTCACATATAATAGATGTACCCCAATATTACCCAATCGGACTTTAAGAAAGCCTTTACTTCATACGGAATAAACAAATATTTACCAATGAGAATCAATTAACAGATTTACCCCATTGTGACGTGAAGCGTATGACTAATTAGACCGGGTCTCAAGTGACCCGGTAATTAATTGTGGAAAACAAAAGGGCCTGGAATGGTGTAATTTTCAATCAAAACCAATGCCCTATATCAGTTATATATAAAGTTGAATTATGTAATTCGTCGTGTTTACGTCATACCGGCTAACATATTGGACCTCGTTATTTAAGTAGTATAGATGTAATTAGTATGGTGCCCAGTGTCCAACAAGTCCTCTAGTTAACGAGTTTAAGTTAACGGAATAACACACTGATATTTTTTGGGTAAATTATAGGAAAATCATTATATTTTACAATTATGATTGTCGTCGTAAGTTCCCGTGGTCACGATTTTCTAAATTTCGTGTTTTTACAGGGTACCCCATATACCGTAATGTGCGGGAATCTTTAAAATGAAAATTTAAATTATTACACTCTTTGTTGGTGGTTGAAATAGTACTTATAATATAGTTTATATATTAAATATATCATATAACGAAAGCGAAAAGTATTTTAGTGATTTTTTACTCTGAATAAAGCAATAAGACACAGTGCATGTGTGTGCCAACTTTCATGCGTGAAATAAAAGTTGTTTTGCATTTGTATCCTCAACTTTCCTGCATTTCATGTTGCAGAGTATTCATTTTAACCCTGTCTTGTGCAAAGTCATTTATTTTCAGTTCATACCAGGCCACTTTATTCATTTTCAAAATCGTATAATTTTATTTTATTATAATTTTATGCATTTGTCTAAGCTCTATAATGCATTATACACTAGGATTTTCAAGATTTTATTGTACACTCTGACAGTTTACACTGTTACAAGAGGCAGATATACATAATATACAGCTTGACAGAAGTGGTATAATAACAGAACAAAATTGAAATAAACATATATACAGGTCAATTTAATATAAGCCATCAAACACACCGTCACATACGTTTGTTTGACACGTGATTTAAACGACCCAAACAAATACACATATCGTGACATATATATATATATATATCATATGATTAATTGGATTATAACACACAACTTAAATTAGGTAAGTACTAAACAGTTTCTTTTATCAAAAATACTTCATGATTTTTTGCAAAAACAATGCGACATTATTGAGCACTTTTATATTACAATAGTATAGCAAACCAAATAGCTTGTCCTCTGTTGGGTTCAAAAAATAATATCGTGGTATATGTATTTTTCTAATTCTTTCAATATTAGGGTTACAACATACTAGCAGATAATGAAATTCATTTCCAATCACCCCCATGTCACATAATGTGCATATTCTGTCCTCACGAGGAATATTTAACCATCTACCGGCTTCTATAGGGAATTTCAGATTTGAACATCGCAGTTTACTCAAGTGTACTCTGCGTTGTTTATTTAGTTTCATCAAGTAGCCTTCAAGACAGAAATCCCTTTTAAATGATAAATAAAGTTCCCCTCTCGAAGCACTTTCAGCCATACTGTGCCATTTTTGTACAAATTAGTCTTGTAAGATTTGTTTTACATAATACTTATATTATTTTTACTAACAATTTCTTGGCTATCCCATACAAACGATAAGCCAACATCATTCAGTATGAATTTCATATGTATTTACCATTTTGATTGCATATTTCCTGAACAATTCATTTCATACAGTAACTTATACATAATACTAGACAGTTTAGAATCATTCGAAAGTAGTTTTATCCAAAAATTAAGTATACTTAGTTTTACATGTATGTCTAGTGGATATCTACCTGTTTCGCCGTACACCATGAAGTTTGGCGTTGATCTTTGGACAGAGAGCACCTTCTTTAAAAATTGCAAGTGCACCGTTTCCAATATGTCTAATTTTTCATATCCCCAAATTTCGCTCCCGTATAAAAGTATAGGATCAATCAAAGAATCAAATAGCTTAATCTGTATATCTACTGGAATAGATATATTCCTAATCTTTCTATATAGAGCATAAAGTGCTTTCTGTCATTGTTCTGCTAATTTCTTTTTTGTTATTTCAAATTTCCCATTTTGGTTTAAAAGCAAACCAAGGAATAACAGTTCTGTTGTGTTTTTTTTCTCTCTCACTGTTTCAATTTTCTTGGAACCCCAGGATCACATGTGTATAGCACATGAATTATAGATCACAGTGTTTACATACGCTACGAAAGAAGTGTCGACAACATCGTTTATCAAAGTATCAAACCAGAGAAAAATTCTAACGGACCAAACCCATTTAAGTATTTGTAGATATGCCAATCACTAAAGAATTATTCACACAAATTTTAAGCAATGCGTAACTACATTTACGATGTCGTGTCTTGTTTTCAATGCTGTCTTCAACTAATTACATTGTTTTAGTTTTGTAGTAAGAGTTTTATATGCAGTTTTAACAGTTGGTCTAGTTTATAAATCATTGACCAGGAAATGCAGTGGTTCGGTAAAATTGTGAATGTGTTTGCAGGACAAACTTAAACAAAATGGTATTCGATTTCAACAACGTCAATATTACACCACAGTCATAATTGTACTCCTTAACAAACAAGGAGCAAACATGGCAAAAAAGAAGCACCTTAATAAGGTTTAATTACACCTCGGTACAGGTGTGTTTTACAGGGTAAAAATAAAATCCTATTTTTCTAGTGAATTCAAAAGGCCTTGTGTAATTTTTAATCACCTCCATTGTCCTATATCAGTTTTATATACAGTTGAATTATTTGATTGGTCGTGTTTACGTCATGCCGGCTAACATATTGGACCTCGTTATTTTAGTAGTATAGATATAATGTAAATCACTTTTGTTATGACAAATATTGTTTGATAAAAAATGCCATGAAAAAAATAGCATATGTTTTAGTCTTTAACGCAAGACATGCGATGTCTTTGTCTCTATAAAATGAGTATAGATATGAATAACAATGTCTATATCAATAATTGGTACGGAAAACACTGAATGATTACGTAGATTAAAAAGTAAAATAACTGGTTTACAGTTTTAATTTCCCGTGAAAGAACCCGTGTAAGAATTATTTATTAGTCGAGTTCTGGTAAGCCGATCCCAAGGAGTTGTGGAATAACACACAAGGTTTGTAATTCGGATAAACGAAATTCATTAAGTGTTATTTTCAATTGGAAGCAAACGGTATAAAAAATTGCGACGCCTATAGACACATGAAACAACTGATCAATTATTGATCGAACGAACTTAATTGGAAAAAGCATAAACATATGACAT